TCAGCTTTGCATCTTGGAGGTAATTTGTACCTCAGTGCAAATGTTTTGGTTTTAATAAGTTTTCTGAAGAACACATTTTTTGAAAAATAAACAGATGCTAACTATGGCATCTAGATTTTTAGTATATGTAAAACCAGGTTCAACTTTCAGTAAAGAAAAAGTAGGACATTTCAGCTTTGTTTTGTATCCAGAGCCAGTGAGTTTTTTTAGTCAAGTTGTGATGCAGGAGTGTATTTTAATAGTAGTATCTCATCGAGCTCTCCTGAGTGGTCCTGCAGTTTGTACCTTAATTTATGCTGCGACTCGTATACCCAAGTGAGGCTCCGGGCACTGTTTGAACTCTTTGGCTGTCCCTCAGACCTGTGTATGAGCATCTCCACCCGCAGTGGCTAGAGCACAGGTTCTGCCCTTGGCTTCTCTGGAATGGTTTCTTGGCACAGGTTTCCTGATGCTGTATATGGAAATGAGGTGTTTGCTGTCCAGCTGCCTTGGGCCCTGTTAGCAATGCTGAGCCCTTTCATTCTAGGGCAGAGGGTGTGTTTTGCTGAAAGTCAAACTTCAGAGCCCTTGGGATAGAGCCCACAGCTTCAAGGAGGCAAATATTGAGATAAACAGACCATGAGATTGCTTTAGCAAAACATGACTGTGGCAATGTTTAAGGCTAGGCAGAAAAAGCTGATATGAGCTTTTCCGTGTCTTTTCTGCATCATTCTCCAGCATTCCTTAGGATGCAATTCCTCACTATGTCTAGGTGTCTCCAGCAGTGACCAAGTGCTGCTGTTTTGTGTGTTGTGGATTCTGTCTCTGTGCTATTCTGAGGGTGAAGTTGTAATAACAAGCCCGAGGTGGTTGGATTTGAGCAGGTAACTGATTCCCTGTTGGCTGGTCCATATAAATGAGTAGCCAAAGAAGTTTGCTYCATCACCGGTTTGCTGACAGCAGCTGGAATTTGCCTTCCAATGTTTCATTTYGCCGCAAAAGCGAGTGGAGAAGAGCTGGCACTGTAAGTGTTCTTGTGGGATTTGCAGGTTCTTCTCCATGTGTGGTAAATGGAAGAGTTTTGCGTGGGCTGCTTCCCCAGAACCATTGTGGAAAAGGCCTAGTGACACTGCAAGTAAAGCAGGCCGAAGGCCCGCAAGCCACTGTGGGAGGCTCCTCTGCTGCCGACAGCCGCTCATGGACCGAGGCGGGAGGAGGAGGGTTTTGTCCTGCGAGAGGGGAGCCCTTTGCAGGGCTGCCTTGCTGCTGCCCTCACTTAGCCCTTGCAAAATGATATGGCTCTTTTCCTTAAAAGCGCTAAAGCGACAGCAGCTGCTATCAGCAGGGTATGTGTACCCYGGCTCTCAGGGAAGAGCAAATTCTGTTCAGTAATGTCTGCTTTTAATGATGCTAAGCTTGAATGTTAATTACCTCTAACACATGGAAACCATTTTTCTGTCACTTGTAATCTCTCGCATATTCTTATAGTTGACAAATCTTTGTATTTCAGTGAAAAAATATTGTCTCAAATAGCTTAACCTAGTGCTACTGCTGTGCATTGCATTAATAACTAGTTTCTTTCAGTTTTTCATTGCATACACTGCAAACATTAAGATTATTTAGATTTATATGACTAGATTTGAAAGATTTTTTTTATATTTACATTACCTACAAGAGATTAATCAACTTGGGGCCTTTATCTTCAAGCATTAACGATTTATTACTTAAACAACTGTGGAAATGAACAAACTTGGATAGAGTGATGTTGTTAGAAGTGCAAGTGCAAGATTTTCATTTTTCTGTGTTTCAATTTGAGGGCACATGGGGAACAAGTTGTATATGTGACAGTGGAGCTTTGCTGGGGAAGCCAGCTCCATGGTAGGAAGGATCTYCTCTTTTGGTGCTGTGCATCTGGAGCAGTGAGGTGTCCGTGGTGCTCGGGAGGCTGCTGGTGCCAGCAGCGGGAGCCCTGAGCTGGGAGCCTCCTTCGGCAGGAGCGCCTGGCCCCGCTACAGGAGCACGGGCACCCGACAAGATCTTAAGCTCTGGGATGTCTAGCAAGTTCTTCAGAGGGTCTGATTGTTGGTAGCTTGTTGTAAAGCTCTCRCACTATGTCGATCTTCCTGTTACTTAGCATATCCCAGCATCCCAGGTATGTGTACGACTTCTGTGAGGGCGGGTGTGATCTTGCAACCTAGTGGTAAAGAAGAATGAATTTGTGACCAAATAGCTGGACTTCTGCTTTTTCTTTGTTGTCTGTGCCCTTCAATGTGCACCTGTGTAAGCGGTTAAATCCTGCTGACCTCAGCCTTTGCTCGGGGCTCTCTCCTAATGCTTATCCTATGCCACATGCAGCAGATGAGGTACTAGATGGCTAGAAAGAATATAAGGGCACAGCCTACACAGAGGCACAGAGATTCTCAGCAGAAAAGGTAGGAATGAGAGCAGTTTCTGATGTCTCTGAAGAGACGAGGACTTGAATGGCTTTAGCAAGAGAGCTGTGATCTAATCCATTAGTTGCTATCTGTAAAAAGTATCCAACTGTATGCCTTTTACTGTATCCAACTATATCCAACTCCTGGCCTTTTACCCAGTCCTCTCAAGTAAATAAACTTCTGAAATTTTAATATGGGACCAGACAATTAGTTGGAAATACAAATTGTAAGGAAGGTGTACCATGGCTTTGCAGCCTGGTCGATAACACTGACTTTCCCTTGTTTTCAACTTGATCCAGTGTTAATATTGGTTAGTCCTCTGGCGCTGTAGTTATGTTGGATCTGTAGATAGGCCTACTGAGAAGCATTTAGTTTTTTTAGTTTAAGTAGGCTCTTAGGAATAATTATACAAAAAGTTGGGGAAATGATTCATAGCGTCATGTCCTCCATCACATAAACAGGTATCTGATAAAGACTAGGAGTTTTTTCCTTTCCTGACTATGTCTTGTCAATTGAACATCTAGCAATTTGCTCATCTATTTGATGAAGGGAAATAGTTGCTAAATGTGYTGTGTCTCATCAATATCTTTTAAAAATAAATTTGTGAACTGTATTGGCATGGGAGCTGTACTATAAAAGCTGGTCAATATTGCTGCAGAAGCAAAGTCCCAGTGTGAGCAGTTTCTTGGAGCACATATATGGGAGGCTCCAGCTTCTGGAGCCAAATGATTATGAAGAAATACAGTTGCTGCCTGGCTCTGCAGGGCTCTGCAGCTACAGACAGTAATATATATGAAATAGTCCTACTATTTCAGCACTGCTAACTCATGGTAATGAATACTCGCTGCAAATACTTGGCATGTGGCCTGGCTTTCAAACTATACTACTTGCTGCCTCTTTTTGGTCTCTTCATGTATCTTTTGGATCAGATTTGGATATTTTGAGATATGTGCTTTTGGATTGTATATTTGTTTGTTTGTTTTCAGGGAAGTTTAGTGTCACCCCAGTCTTGAATGAATTCATGATTCAAAGGTTTACATCTTATTGATGAAAATTGAGTAAATAAAAAAAGTGGAAAATTTAAGACTGGTAATAGATGTTTGAGATGAAAATTTACTTGTTTTTGTTTGCATTTAGATTTTGTAGTTAGGATACTGTTGGGGGCATTAAGGAAATGATGGTTTAGGACAAGGATTCAAAACAGTACAGCTGCTTTTTTAATCGGGAGAAGATCTCTTCAAAATTTTTTTTTTTTTTTTAAAGGAAAAAAGTGTTTATTTTTACGGTGTGGTTTGAGCCTGGAGCCATTTGGTTTGGTTTTGCCTGTAAGCTCTCTTTGGAGTGGTGCACGTGTGAGCSTGTGTGTGCACATCGTGAGGACGCTCGATAATTGCAGGGTTCTGGCAGCTGAAATACATGGCTTGGGTTCCCCAGCACGCGGTGTAAGAGGGACAAGACTGCAGCTCTGCTGAGCACCACAACGATGGCTCTGTGTTTGGTGCACGTGGCTGCGGGCACGTGCGCACAKATGCTCTGTCAAGTTATTCCCCCTTCATTTCCCGGTTCCCCAGAAAGGTAAAACAAGTATCACCAAAAAGGAAACATGAGCAAGGCCTTTCCAGCTGTGAATTAAACTATTTACAGCAATAGCTCAGTTGTAATAATACATAGAATTTTTAAATTATGTGTTTTCTTTTGAGAATTCGGTGCTCGTATTCTGGAAAAAGCCAAATGCATTTGGAATTGCTATTAGTACAGTAGTGGGGGAAAAAATGTGAAGTAAAATAGCATCTAAAGGTTTCCCACAGATTGCTGAAGTATACAAACTCTCATTAAATTAATTATGGCATTTCTTTACTGTCTTCAGGCTTTTTGGGGGGGTGAATTGTTCTTACTATGGAAAAGGCAGAGGGGAGAACTGCCTGAGCAGAAATGCCGGGGGTTCTGGGTGATCTCTGTATAGTTTGTTGGAGGACTCCCTCTAACAGCTGTTGGTCTTTCAGGTGGAGGTATCCTTACTTTTAAATGTTTGGTTTTATGCTAAAAATTTACATGGGAGTAAGCTGAATGGCCAAGCATTTAGTTGTGTATTTCTATAGTGATCATGAATAAAGCATATATGTATGTAACTAAATCCAGCTTAACTAAAGATGTCTTTTGAACACAATTTGACAGAAGAGATGCATATAGGTAATTTTAAGCATAATTCCCTTAAGATGTCTATTTGCTAAGATAATTACTTTATTGACAATGTTGATTCCAGAGAACAACACCAGAGCAGAAAGTCTGGTAAGCATGGTAGAGCCTAGAAATGCGGTTTTTAAAAACTAAATACCTGCGCTCAGCCTTGCTCCTCAGGGGGAATTGGAAAAGTTCAGGATGAAATGAAGTAATAGTGAAAAACTCTATTTCTTCTCCACAGCAGCCAGAAGATGTTGAATTTAAATTATTAACAGATTTTCATTAAGTTATGTGTTACCATTTTAAAAGCAGTTGTGCATTGTGCAAAGTATCAGGGGGAAAAAGTACTTCTATTGAAATCAAGAGGTACAGAGTAATGTTTCCTTGCCTTTTTACTTCTCTCAGGTCCGCACCAGTGTCCTGCCCGATCACAAGGAGCAGAGAGCAGATGTTGGGGTAAGCCATTTATTTCATTAATGGATTTTTTTCACCTCCTCAGCAGAGGCAGATACCCAWCAAAGAAATGGCAATTTRCCCAACTGCTGAACAGTTGGGAGCTGACAGGCTTGTTTGTTAATAGCTGAAGCTGGTTTAAATGAATTAAGAATCATGGCAGGAGCAGTAGTTTCAGTGATGGATAACATCCCATGAACTTATTTCTTGAAAATCCTTTCTTTTCAACTAAAACTATCCCGAGGCAAGCACAGCCAGGGAGACTTGCTGCCACTGTCATGCACGGAGCGGGGATTGGGGTCTCRCTGACACAGTGAGCGTGGCCTTCCGCTCGCAGGGGTTCATGTGCAGTTCTGGCCAGGTTCTCATGAAGTTATACTGGTGATATATGAAGGACCCATTTTTTTCCTATGTAAGTATTAGAGTTGGGATGTATAGGAATAGGGGAATTGCTTCTGGGAAGGGTAGCCTCTCTCAGATGACATGGATGTCTTGTAGAGGTGAGGAAGGTTGGTCCTGCTAGGGACTGTGTTGAAGCTTCCAGGCTTCACTTGGTCTGCTGAATTTTGAAGTCTCTTAAGTTTCAACAGCTTGATGGGCTGTGGAGTCAGAGGTGAATAGGTAGGGAAAATACTTTAGACTTCTGAACTGGAGCTGGTGTTTTTGGAGTTTGCAGATAGAGGTTCTTTTTGAAGGAGCAAGGGGGGAAGGAAAAGAGCTCAAAACTTGGAAGGGAGAATGAGCACTGAATGGTGCTCTTTTTAAATTTATTTTTATTATTGCAYGTTACACAGTGCTATATAACCAAGCTTAGGTAAGCTGGTGATAGTCCCAGATAGCAATTTGATCAGTTATCCCTGGAATTGTTTTAATCAGTCTAAAGGMGCAGTGGCCTGATCGTGGCTGAATGAAAAACCAGCTGTCCTGGGTGGACAGCAGACCCAATGACTGCAAACATTAAAAATAATTGAACTTAATTTTTTTCCTCTAAAGAGTTGACTTTCCAGCACTGCTAGGACTTCCCTGGCATAATTTCTAGCACTTCAGCAATAGTGTTTGAAAAATCTATAGCTTGGCAGTAAGTTAAATCTTAGCAAAATTGATGTATTTCAGACTTTTTATCTAGCTATTGAATAATCTTTTTCTTTGGCTAAGTAAGATTATTCATCCCCCCCCMAAAAAAAAAAAAAAWTCAGGACTATCATACCTTCAGATTTATAAYAGTAAGTACTCCACTATCAAAATTAGAGAAAAGCTGCTCTGTAATGAGCACTCTATGGCAGCAGTTCTGTTGAAATCTAATTTTCAGACCTCCAGGTCTCATGTGCCAAGTTAAATTGGTTTGCCGGCTGCCAGTTCCAGCCCCAGGGTAGAGTACTTGTGTCTGAATGTGTTCAGAAAAACTAATCTCCAGCATTATTTCAATTTACATCCCTCTAACGTAGTTTAACTCTTTCATTTTGGTTTTGAGGTTATGCACCATTTTGTACAATTTGGCAGATAATTTCTAGTTCTTCTATTGTTAGGCAGACTAACTTTATTCCAAATAAGCTAAAGAATATGAAGTAGACAATCTTTTTTTCTTTAAACCCATGAAACTATATAACTTTAATTTTGTGACACTGGAGAACTAGATCTAATGCTCAGAGGTGAGTAGTGGGTACAGTGACCAAAGCTGCTCTGTGAAAGGATGGTGCTATTGTTGCTTGCAGTCGTAGTGTGAGGAACTGCTTCTCTGGCTGGTGGTAGAACTGCTGGCTGGTGTAGAGGAGGATGGACTATCTACCTGTTGCCTCTAGCAAGACTGTACAACAACCTGAGACCTGCTGGGTGTTCTGGTAATGGCCTGTATGTCATTACTGCAGCAAAAGCTAACCATGGCCTCTGACTAACAGTAGTCTCTAACCTGGATTGTGTTTTGAACCATTTGTTTGTTAGGTTAAAAAGCTATCACAGCTCTTCCCTGTTCCCCTTTCCCCTGTGGCCTCTACGGAGATTCAGAGTGGAAAAACTCTATGCTCTTTATCTCAAGGCATCCAGCAACATACAGAATTTATCATTGAGCTTGGTTTTGATTAGCATTCCTACAGCACAGGGAAATTAGTATAATAGACACTCATTTTTGTGTTTCTTAAAATATATCTTTTCAGCTTATAATTGACTCACAGAAAGCCATACATTGAAATATGTGTTGGTGATGACTGCAGACTTTCTTCTTTGCCACCGTTTCCAGGCTAAGAATATTGTTAACAAGTGAGATTTCAGCGATATGCAGTAGGAGTATGGAGACTTGTGTTGAAAGTGATCTAAAGCAAAAGATGAACGTGTTTTTTCCTCTTTGCAGTCTTTTCTTGATGATGCACAAAGCTGCTTTTGCTATAAAGAAAAGATATATTGTTGTAGGTTAACTTAGCCTTAGCAATTTTAGTTGGATTTGCATATTTCTCAATATTTGTATTGCTGTGAGTGGGTTTCACCTTACAGCAGAGAAAAAGGAACCGTGCTTTTAAGCAGTGCTGTAATCTAGAAGAATATAATGTTTTATTAACTTATACTGAACTCAACATTGAAAAAAAGCTTCTTCAAGTATATTCATATTAGGAATACAAAACTAGTAGTGCCCAAGGGCTTGAGGAATAAAYATAGCATAAGTAGCATTGTTAAAGCACTGAGAGTTTAACTTTTCCTGTAATACAGAAATCATTAGTAAAGAAGATGACCCAAGATGCAAATGCTTATGCTAAATGAAAATTTCCTGCAGCTGCACCTTTTGCAGCCTGTTTGTCAGGCTGTTTGTTCTTAATGAGAAAKATTCCTGTTCATAAAATCTAAGTTTAACAAATTATTAATAGTCATGTCACAGCCACAAAAACTTTCTGTAGRGTAATGTGTCAAAGTAGAATATTGCGATGTAATATTTTACTAGCTACCTAAGAAAGCTCCTGCACRTGAGACTGAAAAAAAAAAAAAAWWAWTGTCAAAAGCTAACACTTTTCTTTCCRCTTTGTTTCATAGAGAAGCTTCCTGGGATGTGCAACTTTTAGAGTAGGGGACTTGGTAAAGTCAAAGGAGCAACAGTTGACCCTTACCTTGAGGTAAGTCTTTTCATGTAGGTAAACTGTTTCAAATTAGTAACTTAGGACACTTGGTGGTTGCTGTTTCACTGTGTCTGAAGCTCCAAATTTACTGTKAGGGTGACAGAGCAGTGGAACAGGCTGCCCAGGGAGGTTGTGGAGTCTCCTTCTCTGGAGGTCTTCAAAACCCGCCTGGATGCCACCCTGTGCCACATGCTSTAGGTGTGCCTGCTTGAGCAGGAAGGTTGGACTAGATGATCTSTAGAGGTCCCTTCCAACCTTAAATATTCTGTGAATCTGTAAATTGCTTGAAATGTATTGATGCCCCTCAAGTGTTTTWGCTTCTCTGATGCAAAAAGATGAAGTGAAGTACCAGCTATTTAAGTGTGAGCTTGCCTTGTATCGTATTAGGAAAAGTTACTAGTTCTTTCATATGATACCACATGGAAGAATTGCATGTAACTTGAAGTAGAGAAGATTTTCTGAAGTTTCCTTTAAAAAGAACATTTCCATTTCTTGAAATGTGTAGTTGAAAGAATTTAAATGCTAATACTGTCTAGTTGGCTAGTTTGGCTTCTAGGCACTATTAAAGACGGTGGGCAGGATGAGTGAAGGCTTCTCTCATGTGAAGTCTCTTAAATCTCCTAGCCAACCTCAGTTAGGTGCAAACAAGCTGAAACGTGTGGCGTTTCAGTTCTGCAGTACAGTTCTGCAGTTCTGCACAATGACACAAGTACAGAGCAGCAGGAGGGTCAGGCCCAGCATTTCAGACCCAGGGGAGAGCTGAGTAGGTGTTTGTTCAAGCAGCACGATGAGGCAGAGATCAGTTTCCACTTCTGATGCTGACTTGCGTGGCTTAAGATGAATCAAGATAAGAATCAAAATCTTCTGATGGTAAAGAGAAACCTCTTAGGCTTAGACTTTCAGAATTAAGGYGATGGGCTGTGGTACATGTATTTCCTAGAGCGGATTTGTGCGAGCACAATGGGTGTTTGTTTAGGATTACTGCGGGGCACATACAAACCTCACAGAGCACCTCCCCAAAGTCATGGTGTTTCTGCATCCTTTAGAGAGTTTTAGAAGTATTTTGGCTTTACTGTAGCAGGAACTGGAATGGCCTGATGTGTGTGGTTTACAGTGCAACAAAATGCCTTGATTTTTATTTTTATTTAATCCAACCACATAAAATAACTAGTAAATAATTTTGTTTTCTAAGAAAGCAGGAATGGGAAAAATGGAAACTGACAATTCTCTATGGGAATGTTTGGTTAGATAACCAAGTAGCAGCTCAGTGGTGGTAAGAGAAATTCTCTTCTTAGAGAATTTCAAATCCTCTCAAGTTCTTTGTGGCAGGAACTTGGCCTGCCTCTGTGACTAGCGCATTGAAACATTGATCTGAAAGGATCTCTGACACATGTCATAATAATATGACAGAATGGCAGGATTTGGGAAGTTTAGAAATGACTCAAGACTTTATCTTACTCATCTAATTTATAAACCAAAACTGGTAAGCARTGAGTGACAGCTTGTCAGGTTAGTCTGTGTTGAAACCTGAGCTTTTACAGATTTACTTTTCGTTAATCTTTTTGTACTATGTGTTCTGTTTGTGTAGCTAATACTAGAGGGCAGGTATTAAACCAATCCAAAYTAATTTGTGACCACATTAAATGATAATCTTCAGTGGCTTGGTCTGTCCTCTTGTTTGTGGAAAAAAAAAAAAAATCCTGACCTTTTAAAAGGAGGATTTGTTTTCTGATTTTGTCTGTTCATCAAATGCAGAAGAAATTATTCACCCTTCAGAGRCAGTTTAATCAAAACAGATGGATCCTCTTAACTTGTTTTCCTCCAGTTGCCTATTTTAATAGTACTTTTTAGGAGGATATAGCAAGGGCATTGCCAGAGCAGACTATTCTATCTAATTCTTGATGATAATACTTTGCACGGATGTTGTTCAGTATGTGCCTGTGATTTTAAGCTGTTAGATCTGAAACAGAGATTGGAGGATTAACTCTGTGGTGTGGTCTGCAAATATAGGTCTAATTAGAGCATCTTGTTCATTTTTCACTCTATGTGTTTACTGTGTTTTGATGTCTTTGAGACAAACGGCAGTAGTTGCAAATTACCCTAAAGAGATTTAAAGAGATGTTCTTGTGTTCTGAGTTATTCTGTGGGGGATTGTTCTGGAAGGCTGGTGTAGACCCCCCCAATTCCATCCTGCTGCAGGAGAGTGCTCTGCTCCTGCCCTCTCCCCCCATAGTGGACCCGAGCAGTGGGTCGGTGCCCAAGGTAAGACCAGCTGTTCCAGAGGATTTCGCTGCGTTCCTGTGTTGTGATCCTCTTTTTCTAAAGGTACCTTGAACTCATGACCAGCTGAATGTTTGCCATAGATGCAAGTGTCTGAATCTAATCATGGGAGCCAGAGCGGGACAGTTTGCAGAACCATTTTGGTGAGGGCGGTGCAGGGAACTGATGTTGGCAGAGCAGCTCAGTCCTAGAGATCTAGAGACCTGGCTTTGCAATTTCCAGTGCACGAGCTACGAGAAGAGAAACACCTCCTGCAGACTGGGGCTTTCCTTCTGCAATGGTGATGCAGTGCCCCTTGTTTCCAGCTTTCTCATAGSGCTCTAATGGTGAATGGGATAAGATGTGCTGTTGAATAAAACAAAAGCCATATTCAACAGCAGAATGTTACTTAATATTGACTATGTGTTACRGTGTATCCAATAAAAAGATGTGAATCATGCATCTCCTTTCCTTTGTGAATGACAGCAACACTGATTGCCACTTTGGTAATTAAGACAAATCTTTGCTAGTTGACTTAAATTCAAAGCTCAGTATAGAGGGTTTTTTGAATATATTTCCACAGCCTAATAATTTTTGTTTGGTTGGGATCTATGGCCTTTTGTGCAGTTAGTACTTCCATTAGCCGTTCCCTGGTGATGGTCGTTTGCTGTGTTTCCAGGAAGCTCCTTTTAGCTCAGGTGGTTTTGGTGTCATTTCCAGTAAGCTGCAAGCAAGAAGCAGCAAAGGCAGAAGATGATAATGCTCTCTTGTGGTGCCTGTAAAATGAAGATCTGTCTGTCTTGGATACTCCCGAGTAGATTGTGCGAGAGTTTAGTAGGCTGCGTCAGTTTGGAACTCTCTTCTGCCTGAAGCCTCTCTTCTGCCCGTTTCCTTAACAAACAATTGCAAGAAAATATTGAATATTAAAATTCATTGGAGTCGGCATGTGACTCGCTTTATCTGTTTTGCATCCTGAACTTGTTCCTTTGCCACTTGATGCTGTGTCATTGCGCCCAGGAAGCGCTTGAACAGCTTGGCTTTATCAGGCAGGAAGATCTGCAGGAGAGCTGTGGAGAAGCTTGTCTTGACACCRTGCAAAACATGATATTGAAGCCATGAGAATGTGAATGAGTTGAATACTGTAAAGCTCTGTTTACCTTGGAATCTAACTAACTGTTATTTACGGGTGGATTTGTTTGGAGGCAGTGCCATTAGAGAGAGGCTGTGCTGTAATTTCACAGAATAAACCAAAGACGACATTGYTGTACAAGTATAGTAATTTAGTTAGAATAAAATGCGCTGAGGTTTTTCAGAATATTGAATTTGTGGATGAAATGATTCAATGATGATAAATATGTGCTAGTGTGTGCTAATTGCACTTGTGTATTATGTGCGGGAGAAAGGGACTACTTGCTAGCCTGAAACTGCAGAAAAGMCATTTTGCTTTTTGGGCAGTCATTCGCTTTCTTCTGTACCTAACATAGCTATGGGCTTTCTGTGTTCTTGAGCTCTTTTTGGATGAAAGGTATGGCCGTGGCAACAGGCCTGAATGTAGGTGTTCACCAGTGTGCAGCAGTGGACCTGGTGAGAAGCRTGGCAAAGGCAATAGGCTGTGCTTCTCAATCTGCTCACCTGTGTCTTTGTTCACTGTCCAAGGAAGCTCCTGCTCCTCCTTTTCCCAGGCAGATGTGTATTCCTGCAGCTGGGGAGGGTGTGAGGGATGTCACTAACCTGCTGGCCTTCGAGGCCTAGCCTTGGGTGGTAAGCAAACCTGCATGCGTAATATTAAAGCTGTCTCTGGGTTTGGCTCGGAGTCGCATGACGTGCTGCTGCTGCTGCCATGGACACAAGTGTTGGTTTAAACCCCAGGTGTGCACCCTTTCCATCAGGAGAGTCACCGCAGGAGCGGGACCGGGGTGGCCCCAGGRCCATGTGGGGAGGCAGGTGAAGCGAGCGGAGCCGGTGCCGCCTCGGGGCCATGGGGGCTAAAGCTCTTGGGGGCATCGCTGTCCCGGTGCCACATCTCCTTCCTGCTGCTCGTGTCCCAGCACGGGTCATCCAGGGCCAGCTGGGGAGGAACCTGTGCTCCTTGTCCCTCTGCTTTGACCTCTCTTGACCACGGTTAAAATTTAATTGCTGACTCTTTCCTTTGGCAGGTGTGCAGTAAAACTGCTGGTAGGTGAAGAGGCACAAATGCTGCAGTCAAATACTTTTTAGAGAAAAGGGGGGGAAARAAAAGAAAGCTCAGCGTTTTTCCCACTCCAAAAGCTGACTAGGGCTTCCGAGCTGTGTGTAGGCTTCTTCACACTGACGCATTCTTTTCTTGTTTATTCTTACTGTTGTGTTCTCTTCCTTCCTGCCTGTGTCAGAAAATTTCCCTTGCAGGTTTTTCAAGGTGTCATCCTTGTTTGTGCAAGACTGAGCACCCGTGGTCTGCATAGAGCAGCTTGTCTCCTGCCTATGAGTAATTTGGGGCAGGGACAGTCTTGGCTGCAGCTTGCCTGCACAGAATGCACTTTTCAGCTCTACTGAAGTGCAGCAAGCAAACTAGTGGTGACCTTCCACGTTATGAAATATCCTAAAGCCAGTGAGCTGCTTTCCTCATCTTCTGTGTGAAAGGCTCACCTATGTGAGGTGGTCCTGCTATCTGTGCAGGCAAACAGCATGAGATGCCTTTGAGTCTGTGAGTCATTTGTGTTAGTGTGAAGGAAAAACATACAAATTCCCATCCTGTATAGATGCATTTATTCCTTCCATTGCAGTGTTTCTGTCTTTCCTGGCCTTAATTTTCTTTCAGGCAAAATTTGAATCTCCTCACAGTGTTTGAAAGTTATTAACGTGTGGAGTGTTTGCTGTTGGAAGACTCATTGCGCACCAGTGGTACTTTAAATTCACAGTGTCTGTAACAGCTAATGATGGTGTCTCCCTGGGCATTTATAGYGTTCTTTGTTGATTTGTGGCCTTGTACCATTCAAAAAGGAGCTTTGTTTTTGCTTTTTTTACTGTGCTTTAGCATTTYCGTGTGGGAAGATGAAAGAGAAATGGAAGAGGGTGGGTAACCCAGTGCAACAGCCCTGGTGTTCAGCTTGATGGAGGCCCCAAAAGGGAGGGAGAAGAGGGCCCTGCAAGCATGAACCAGCATTTCCATTTTTATTTTGTTACTCAAGCAACGTTCTTCACTAGGTTTTATCAGTTCATTTGCAAATTGAGTTTGATTTTTCTCARCCTTCGTTTAGACTTCTAATTTGCCATGATGTAATTTGAAAGTTTAATCAGGTCTGTTTTGTGTGGGTTGTCCTTAGGCTTGCAGGTCTCTCTGGCCTTAGGAAAATGTAGCTGCTAGGGAAGGGAGGATTTTATTGGTTAACGTCACATTTTCCTTCTTGCGTCTGAAGTTTTATCTAATTTCCCCCAAAGTTCTGTTTTATTTTCCCTTTCTTTTGTGCTTTTGTAGTTCTGTTAAGCTTAATTCACATMCTTTTGCTGACTTCAGGTCTGTGACTCCTTTTATACTTGTAACTATCAAGTGGTCTTATCAACTTTTTCTAAACCAGGAGATGCACCATACTTCTAACCTCCGTGTTTTGAATAGTGTTCTGTTACCAGTGAAAGCTGAAGAAGCCTTCAGTATCTTCTGGGGACTTTAAAACCTTGTTTCTGCAAAAGGGCAGTGTGCCGAAGGGTGGTAGCCTTTGCTGGGAGATGGAAGTCRGAAGAATTTGGTTTTTGCCCAGTTGAAGCAGGCTGTTGGTAGAGAAGTTGAAGCAAGTCACTTGGATTCCCTCTCCTCTCCCAGATACCAGAAGTGGGACAGGTGCTGGCTGTTGGGCAGAGGTGCTGGCGTAGCAGCCRTCTGTGAATGCGCGGAGCGCGGCCGCATCCGGACGTTGAGCGCGGCGAGGCTGCCGGGCGCAACGGGGGCGCTTGGCCCCAGCCTGGCAGCTTGGGCTCCCCACACGCAGGGGAACGTTTGGGAGGAAACCTTGGCTGTAATCATGGAGCCTTTCGCTGCATATAGCACCTGTCCATCCTCAGGTTTATGATGAACACTTTCCCTGTCATAAGCAATTTGGAGAAAATACTATGTTCTATACTGTTAGCATTTGYTTTATGGTGGTAAGTAATGAGCTTAATGCACCTGACTGCAGCTGTATGGAATGAATAGAGGAATGAATATTTACTGAGAATGTTTTTATTGAAGCAATGAGATACTGATGATGAGTGAAATTTTTTCCCTGGTCTCTTTTCTACCCCCTCTCCCTATACTCCCCCTCAGGACTTCTGATGGTGGAAAGACAGTTGGTACCATTGAAGTCAATCTTGTGAAGATGGGGGAGATAGARGATGGGGAAGCAGACCATGTCACAACAGATGCACAGGATCAAAAGGTAGGACTTCAGTCAGTTCGTTGCACAAAGCAAATTATAATGATCGTCTGTGTCGGATGTGTTACTAATACCACTCTGGGGTTTAAGTGCTTATTATTCAAACATTTCTGGAATAAAACACCATGTGCACTCTTCTCTCTAAAAATACACTTGCATGAAAATGTACAAAGCAATACTCTATTCTCAGTTCCTACTCCCTTCTCTTTCTTAGAACAAAAGAGCTCATTTTAACTTCAACTGATCCTCCTTAATCACTCCTGATCAACATACTGTCCACAGAGACACCATAAATCTGATTTCTTTTTTCCCTTGGACAGTTCTTCTGTTTTCTGCCCTTGAAGYCCCGTCCACGTGGATTTTTAAGTGCAACCTGTGCCCACAATACTGAAAACCTGGACAGAGAGACAGACAGGCGAGCCAAAGAAGAGGTGAATCCCCTTGCAAAAGGGCAGGTTCAGCAGCATTTCATGGGGACACACAGCGGCAGGGGGAATAACTGGGGGTGGCAGCAGAGTGTGAGAGTAGGGCAGCTCTGAGCTGCGGAGTTGTGCAGAGATGTGGAGCTGGGTGCTTCTGGTGTGGGGTGAGGGGCAAGGAAGGGGTTGGAAGGAGCAAGATGCTTGGGAAGCCACTGCAGGCAGAAGCGGTAGAGACTGGAGTGGGCAGTGGCATGGGGCAGAAGCGATTTGGGAGGGATGAGGGAGATTGAAGGATGGGTGGAACAGATGGACTGGGACAGGGATTACAAGTGACAGCCTCAAATCAGTAATCGAGGGCTAATGGTTTACAGTTAATCAAAAAGCTCTTGATCTGGATCCCTGATGTAATGGAGATCGATCTACCTGTAGATCAGGARTTGTCTCCTCCTGATGTTTCCATCTCTTGCCATGTTCTTACAGACAGAAATGGGCCATTTCCAAAGCATTTCATGAAGGCTGAATTCCTCCTCGTTTTATACTGTAAAAATACCACAGGATGTAGAATGTGAACTGTTAATCTAGACTTGTTTTATATTCTACTTTTCTTCCACTTACTATGTGAGTGAGACCAACTGTGGTTTAAGATGCGACAGTTGCATCTCTTGCACAGTTATCTAAGGTGTAATTGATGAACTGTCTCCAGCGCAGTTGAGTCATGTTGTTAATGACATCTTGGGGATACTAATAATTGTCAAAAAGGAGTTAAAAACAACAAATACGGCATCTGTGTGATAGCTGTATCTTCTGTGGTCTTTATAGGAGTTCTCAGTTTTTATGAATAACTTGCATCGTGGTCTTTTAAGAGTCTTAATTTGTACATTGGTAGCAAGGATGTAATTTCTGGCTACAGTCCCAAGAAGCAATTGTGAGAATGTGGTGCTATTGAATTACTCCAAAGAAGTAAGTTCTGAATTAGGTTTGCTACATCTTTAAACAAACCACGCACAGGCAATTACTCAGAGGAGTAAGCTGATGGTTAAACTTAATCTGAGATGTTTGCTAGAGAGAATGTCACATCTCTTGTTGCTTCACACTCTGCAGCTGAATGTCAAGAAATTGCGGGAGCCCCAGGAACGTGGTTCCCATCACTGAGAGACACTGTCTGTTGTGGGAGTCTTGGGATTTTGTTGTTGCTCTTAGAGTTTTTGTTTCCTCTGGAAGGATTTTTAAAAGAGTGTCTGTCTTAATGCRTTGATGTAAACCAGATGACATTTTTCCTATAACATTTTCATACAGCTYATGATGGAAAAAACACTAATCTCATCACAGAAATCTTCAGATTCATTTGTATAACAAATCATCTTAATCACAAACTACAAATCAATTTTAAAGAATTTTTGTGGTCTCTACCTTGATGCTGTTTAAAAACTAAAAGACTGTTTTCTGACATTGTCTCTAAAGCCTGCCTTGTTCAAAGAAATCCCTCTGAAAGCACAGAGCATGTCATATGTTATGGAATAGATGGTCATGCTTTGTCTCCTCCCCCCAGTAATTCTGATTGTTACAGTATATTGCAACAGAAATCTAAACAGAAAAATATAAATGATAACTTTCCAATCCTATGTTTAATTATCAGTTATGTTTTTCGGCCTGTCATATATAAGCAGCTTTGAACTTTTTTTAATACATGAACGTGTGAAAGTTTTTTTGCATTTCTTTTGTAGTGTGCATTGGTTCGTGAATGTACAGCCCCTGAAGGCATGAGTGGTAAAGACAACTTGCCTTTGCTAAATGCAGGTAGGTGTTCTGTTGGACAGCTGTAACACTCAAAAAATTGTGCAGCCCTTAAAGAGCCTTTTAAGTTTAATATTTTATTGCGCTTTGTATGCTTTCTTTATTTTCAGAAATGTTTTTGAATTGTGGTTTCTGAAGTGCAGCTCAGTTCTTCCCCTCCTAGATCTTACCTATTTAATGGCTTCAAAGATGGACMGTGACTTTAGTGGACATGGAATTAACCTCCTAAATTTGTGTTACTATATGGCCTTCTCTCAGTGTAATTGTGCATTATTTGCCGTTCGATACTAGAGAATTCATCTCTTTCCAAGTTGGTGCTGTGGGAATTTGATCTGAAAGCTCTGTGCCTTAGAATGTAGGAAACAGTTGGCAAGGCGTTCACAATTCTAGGTCAATCCTAAAAGTGTGGGCTTGAGTGTACAGTTTTGAACTAGATCTATTTCTTTTTACTGAGGAAAATTACATGCTGGTATACTGCATCATAAAAGTTTTATTAGGCTAAGTTTATGAATCTCCATTACTCTGCAGTCACAAATAAGTTATATGGGTCATCTGAARCCGCAGTGCTGTGAGGAATTCCGTGCATGTGCTGCATACACTGCAGGAGAAAAGCTACTAAAGTCGAAGTAACTTCTGAAAGAGACGGGGTGGGAAGCAGGAAACACTTTCTTGTGTAAAGCTACCATTTTTTTCCATTGATTCAGTGGGAGACTAGATATGTTTGTGGAAAAAAATATTCATGGAGAAGTACTAAATGCACAGGAACTGCCTGTCACTCAGGAAATCCCTGAACTGAAAATAGCTGGAGGCAAGAGAGTGTCTTGGAGGTTTGTCCTGTTGTTATCTTTTCTAGGTACCTATTTATGGCCGTGGTTAGAGACAAGAGAAGGAGCTAGTTGAATGCTTTGGTCTGAGTGCAGCTGTTCTTTAAGTCTGTTTCTTTATGGAATCAAGAGAAGTAGGTCTTAACAACATTTCTATTCAGAGAATTTTTACTTCCACTGGGCCTTTGTTTCTTATATGGTTGGAGAAATGTTTTGAAACTTAGTTTTAAGATAACCTAGTCTGTTGGAACTTCTGAAGTAGAATGGCAGCATAATAAAGTTGAGGTTACTTTGTCCAGAGTGCTTGAATGATTCATCTTGTGATTCAATAATATATGTAGACTGTACTCGACAGATCTGTGTTTATTTTTCTCATATACAAATACCGAAGATAAAGAACCCTAGTCTGACCAGCATTGCTGTGATTTAAGAAATCACACATGGGAAAGTTTTAGAGGAAAAAAGGAAAAAACAAAAAACCCACTGGTGGGCAGAATTGCAGATGTATGTGAGAAAAGGACAGCACACAGGATATTGGAAAGATTCTTTTTGGTCCCAGACACTTCAAGGAAGTTTGTTCTAATAAGTATTTATTCTTGGATCTGCTTCCTGTGCTTGTGACTTCCTCTCACCTGCTTTGTTTCCATTTCCCTCCTGAAACCTGGCTCTACTTCCAGGCATCAGATTTTCAGTCCTACTCTTTGCCCTGATTGCCCTGAATTCACAGTCCCTTTTCCTCACAGGTTTTTAGCTCTCCTCCTATGCTCCCAGCCTCCTTACCCAGTGAAGCTTTTMCCCAGCATATCTTGACTGGTCTTCCTTTGGATTAAGCATCTCCATGTTGCCTGGAGACTGGCTCTAATACAGGTGCCAGCGCCCTTGTTCAACACTGCTTTTCAGGAATGTGTTCAGCCACTTCCTAGGAGAGGCCCATACATAGTCCAGCCAGTGGCAGAAATTGGGAATAGCAGGAGTAATGCATTTTCGGGGGGGGGAAGCCTTTGAATTACAAGGTAAATTCAAGCCAATCTMTGTCGAATATTTACATACTGAGACTTTTTTTTCAAGCCTTATGTCACTGTTGGATGTGGTTAGATTGTCATGGGCATGACAAATACGGATCTCTACAAGGTTTATTGACAGAAATCAAATTTATAAAGCCTGGAACTTCTATTGCAAACTTGTATTCTTAATTCCAGTATCAAATTTCTAGCCTTGTTCTCAGAGAGGTTGGGCTGTTTGACTGAAACTTTGCAAATATCCTTATTCTGATCCAGCCATGTATCAGTGTGGCAAAATTAGAAGCCATCAAAAACAAGAACTTAAGGGAAAGGAAGGACAATATAAATAATGCAGTAAAAGTTGGTATTACCATTTTACCTTAATATACCTTGTTTGCACTTACTTTCCCTGTTGGGTGCAGAGCAATCTAGAGGGCAGTATATACATACGTGCATAGTATGTGTGTATACTGCAGTAAAAGATTTTTTGGTTCACTCTATCTCATCTRGTTTATCAGATCTTCAAAACCAGGAGACTGAAAAATCCCCCATGTGGATCTTAAAGCCTGTAGGCATCAAGGCACATTGGCATTCCTTTAAAATTTGAATTTTAATATAAGGAATTTGCAGCCCTCAAGTGAGTTGTGAGGCACTTATTGTGTGGCAATGAGTATCATATTTCATAAGGGCTTATCACTATTCCATTTATACCTCAAGAGATTTGAATTTGTGTCTCAAAATGCAGTTCTTTATAGTACTGGAAAATTTGCCCCTTTTCAGGAAAAGTTATTGCCCCTACAGTGAAAAAGAGGGCAAGACTAACTGCAACTAAGCAAGAATGAAGAAATTTGAAGTTATCCTTTCTAAGATGATATGCATAATATTTGCATGTGACAAAGGAAGTTAGAAATGCTATTAGTAAATTAGTATATGACAGCAGTATGCTTTGATCTTGGCTGGATAGGGAATAAAAATGAAAACAGAGTATTCAATCTTTTTTTATCCTGCTTGCAGGAGAAGCAGTGTGAAGAATATTGCATGGAATAAAAGCACAAGGGTCTTAAAATTTAAAAACAAGGATGCCCCAAAATGTGGGTAATTTAATATATAGTATTAGCTTCAGGGATTCACTATATAGAGAAAGACTTTTAAAATAAATCTTTTGCATTTTAGCGACAGCAGTTGACCTGGAATTGCTTTTCTTCAACACCTCTCATGGTTTCACTGTCCAAATACAGGAAGGGTTACTTTTCTGAAACTTTCACTCATTTTTAATAATTGCCTTTTATAAAAGCTAAATCTTGCCATTCTTACCACTTGGTTGGTTTTACATACCTCCTGGGTCTCTGTCTTTTTTAAACAACTTCAAGTTCTTGTTGTAATTAGGAAGAAAAATACATTTGAGACTTTTGAGATCGTGATTTCAGTAGTTGTGTGTGTAAGAAAAATCTGAAATACTGTGAAGTTCTCAATAACAATATTAAACTTCAGTAATGTTGCTAACAGGAATTACTTGGGTTCCTTCTGGAAATATAATACCAGGCCTTTTTTCCTCCTTCTCTCTTAGTTTGTAAGTTAAATTTCCTTTGTGAACTCACAGAACTGGCCTTTTGGACATTTGTTCATAAAATCACTCATTGAAGATAGTCCCAGTGTGAAATCTCTGGATCGAGGTAGTACCTTCCACAAACGAAAGAGTAGCTAATAGTATTAATAATATTAAAAGCCACAGATGTCTATCCAAATTTTCAGAGCGAGTCCTAGTCATTCCTTGCTCTCATGTCGCACTACTTTTGCATTTGGGTGGTATTTTTATTGATGGTTGTAATGGAAGGGGAAACAGGAAGAAGAGATCGTGTAGCTCTAGTATCCAGCTATGCCAGGCAGCTCACTGGCTTCCATTCAGTTCTCAGAGTAATGTGAGTTTTTGAGTGCAACTGGTTGAATGCCCTTTTGATTTTTAGTGAATGCTAGTCAAGGCTGTGGTGTGAAGGCTTTCAAGCTGTAAAATGCATGYAGTGATGCTTGAACATTGATATTCGAGGTGCTAATACGAATAGCAGCAATTTCTGTTTATTATGTGACAGTTAATAATCATGTGTTAGATATACCTCATAAGCGAGTCAGTTTTCTTTGCAACGAAAATTACCAAAATCAAGCAAGGTGACTCTGGGAAGACTTCAGGTTGTTCATAAAAATGAATGATTAAATAGGCCTCAGTAAAAATAAGGGAATTTAAAAAAGGCATCAGTGATTACTTAAACACCAATATTTACAGCATTCATTTCTTCATGTATTGCTAGCAGCTGTTTTATTACATCTATTTGTGACTCGGTGCTCTTGTCTCGTATCCCCAAACCCACTGGGTTAGGTGGGCAAGGCCGGGGGTGGGTCTTGGGTAGCTGGGGACTGCCTTGCTTGGCCTTGGAAGCTTGCTCCATCGTGGGTGTCTTCCAGGAAAACAGGGAAGAGCAGAGCAGGAAGGCTCTGAGGAAAAGGAGAGAATGGGAACCCCAGCTTCGTTAGAGAGCATCCTTACAAACATTTCATGAAAAGCCAACACGTGAGAGCTTTGGGGTGAAAAACATTGTGTGTTTCAGCATAATATTCCAAGACATTTAGCCTCTTGTTTTTTGTAGGTCAAACTAAAATAGTGATCTGGCAATTGAGTATGTAACACGCTTACGAGGCTCTTGCATTTGTTTCTCTGAAGCAGCAATCTCTTGACCGTGACAGTGGTACCAGTTTCTTTAATCTATTTATGCTATGTGCCCTGGTCGTGGGGATGTTGGATAGATCTAAGCTACGTGGGCTACATGACAAGCTTCACTTGGTTCCTGACGTTTTTCAGTAGTGTGTGAGAGATTCTAGTACATGGTAAAATGTGATGTTGACTGTGTGCAAGTTCACTGTTTGTTGTGTGTATTTATTTCTTCCTAACTTTATCTGAAGTTTAAGTTTTCATTCTCACTGCACTGGGCTGCTGAGTTCACATGATGCCTACTGTGCTGGTTAAACGCGAGTTACCTACTGCATTAGCAATATTTAGCCCTCAATATGTTCTCATAAATAAAATTTGAACTGAATAGAATTTAGTGTTTCTATAGAACTCAAATATTTTTAAAATTAATCTTGGAAATGGGAGAAAGAGGCATTTGGATAAAAATGTCTTACATTTTTCAGAGGTGTATAACCACTTAAGCAATGATGTCGTTTTTCTTCTCTGCAGTGTTAAAAAACCCAATCTGCAAGTTATACAGATTCCCTACTTCGGACAACAAGTGGATGCAGATCCGAGAGCAAATGGCAGAGTCAGCGCTGTCTTTCCATGTCCCCAGAGAACTCATCAGTCTGCACATAAAGGAGGACATGAGAAGGTAAGCAAAAGGACCAATGGTAAATGCTGTTCTTAATTGGAATCCTGTATGTAGTGAATTAAAAATGTTAAGTTTTTACTATAAAATACAAAAACCCTCACAGTGGTCATTTTGGTTAATGAGTATTCACAGCTRTAATTCAACAGCAGAATTGATTGCTCAGAATTTGAGACATCAGCGACCTCATGAATTCTCAGGAAAGAATTTTTCMAAATCAAGTTATTACTTTAATTATGTAAGAATCAACATTTGATTAATAATATAAATATTGTGAAAAGYTAACATTTTATAAACAAACAACACGTGACAAGGGTCTACACTGTRTTGTGTTTGATGTTGCGCCTCACAGTGCTGCTAGCACAGGTAAACATTGTGCAAGCAGTAAGGAATTACATGGTTGTAGGTTGTAAAAGTGCAGCAAGAATATAAGTCACTTTGCTTTTGTTCACTCGGATTAGTTGATCTAAGAAAAGGATACCCCAATAATGYGTTTTCCAATGTTTTGCTCATGTCCTTGCAGTCAGGTAGGACATCTGAGGACATCACAGTACAGAGCTGGGGAAAGGGAGGGTAGGAAGCAGTAGTGGGGTTAAACCTTTTGGCTTTCCACATTCCTGATGAGGGAAGTAAATTGGGAGCCTGCCCTTCAATGAAGCCTGTGACTTCTGGTGCAACTAGGGCACAAAAGGCAAAAATTGCAGCAGCCCTTGAAGGGCTGCCTTAAAAGCGTGGGGTGCCATGAGCCTTGCCTCACATGGGCAGGCATCTGGTCTCCTCAGGAGCACTGTGAGCTAATGCTGCATCCCAAAGTCATCCTGTGCCCTTGCCCTCTTGAGCAGCCCCTCAGAGGAGTTGCCTGTGGCTGCTGGTTCTCAATAGGGCCCTTTTTTATTCATCCCATCTACCACTTCTATATGATCTTTTTATGCCAATAGAACAGCATGTTAGGGGACCAGAATCTTGCTTTTTAATAAAGTCAGTGGACTGATATGTACTTACGTGTGGTGATGATGGGTTATAAAAATCATATGTGAACTGGTATAATGCTTTTTTCATTTAATATGGCATTTAGGCTTTTATGGCCTTAACTTGTTTTAGAACACTAATGTGTAAGTTTTCAGTAAGCAATAAAAATAGATTGTTGGCTGCACAGTTCATCCACTTCCTTAATTTTTATTCGTCCCCTGGGCAGGTGCTCTTTGAAATATTAGGAAATTGCTCTAACCACCGTTATTTCTTGTGCATTACTATCTCCAAAACTATAATGGGGCCTGTAGGTYTTGTCTTCAGTGTTCAACACCTTATTCTGTAAAACAACTGTGCAGAGGTGTGCTCTTGCAGACTCCTTGCAGTTCTGAAATAGTAAAATGACACTTGAAGAATGTTGGCCTATTATGTTTTACACTCTTAGAAAAACTTATCTAATGCCATTTGGATGCTGTTGTTTCTTGAAATGTGATTCTGTTGAGTTTTTTCCCCTCTATTAGTATAAAAGCATGATTATTTTTATCTCTGAGGCCATTCTTTATCATCCTCATCATGTTCAATTCTTTTCCTGTTGTGGCTTCAGTATAGTTACTTCTGAAGCAATTAACTATAAAAAATATCCATATGTAACACTAGTTACTAGTTACTTGAATATTGTGCTTTAAATGGTGTATTAAATCATTTTTCTCATAGCTCTAAAGATTGGTTACCTGTTGACGAAACAGCATTCATCGTTAACCAAATACTTGTGTTTTCTATCTTGATCCTCTGAAATATGCAACCTCAGAGGATATTTAACTTTGTGTTTTTCAATATGGAATATCTTTCAAGCTATACCTTAATATGAAGATCTATATAACTTGGTCCTTCAAACCTGCACGGAAAACATTTTCATTGGAGCTGTACTGTTGTCCTAATGTTCTGGGAAGGGCTGTAGTCTGCTTTGCTGCTGTTTTACTAAGAAATTATTTCAATTTTTCTCTCAAAGTTTTCCACAGGACCCCTTTCCCCCTGTTTCTGGTATATCTGAAGTCAGAATTTGTCTGGAATCTTTTTTCTCCACAGTGCAAGACTAGGCAAGTAGTTTTTCAAACCTGATGTTTATAAAAATAAAGGCAAGTTATTTGCAAGAAATTGTTCAGACATTTTGTGAGACCATATAATCTAACTTTGTAGTTGTAGATGCAACTTGTATTGCCCTGGGTGAGTTGTGCAAGGGAATTGGATGCTTTAGGGGAAGCTGCTGTAGGGATCTGTCTCAAGGTATTGCTAAAATGCTATGTGATCCCTTGRGATCAAGCTCAGCTTTGGCTAAAGGGAAGTTCCACCTGCTGATGGCCAAATTAGGCCCATGGCATTTGTGGTCACAATCCGTAAATAWCAAAAATAAATGCTCAACTTCCATWGAAGCCTGTTTCCAGAGTGCAGTTCTCCTCCTGTGTCAGGCCTGGCTGTCCAGTCCCAACTCCGGTCTCCTTTTCTCAYGCAAAGGCCGTGGTCAGTGCAGTCAGGATGGCAGAGCCCGTGTCTCTTCATAATTCTTTCTTGTAGCAACTCAGAATGGGAATAAATTGAGACTGTTTAAGAGGTGTGGGTTTTTCTGTAATGTTTTAATACACAGCTGTCACAGAGAAATGGAGACCCCGGCAGAAATGCTATGTGCTGGGAATAGGCATTGATTTTCTTGAACTTGGCATAATATGTTTTAAATGATTTATATTTTGAGCAACTGCCTTGCAAACGGGTTGTGCYGAAGCCATGGGAGTGGTAGAGTGAAAGGGGAATGCTGAAGGAATGCATCAGAATGGTTTAAGCTGTTTGAACGTACTTTTTTAGGCCAATTTTAGACTCTCCTGTTTATTTCTCCACATTTAACATTCCTTCAAAAATGAAGAGTATGAAAACTAGTAATTTTAAATATTAAAGGGAAGTATAGGAGCACTATATAATTCTCAGTATTCTTTATTTCATTGTTAATTTTTGCAAAATGTGATCTCTGTGAAAGCCTAAGGGCTCTTTCTCTCTGACATAGAGGCAAAATTTGCTGTGCATAATTTTGCTATTGTTTGTTTAAAGTTGTAGTACATTAAAGTGGAGTAACAGTTAGCTCTAGATGGCATTACCTTTGTTGTTCAGCAGTGTTGAGAGCTGTAAAATATTAACTAGCTACTGACTGCCCTTAGACTGAGCGAGTAAATAGCTCAGGTAAAGAGAAGAGCTTTTTAAGGTCTCTTAAATCCATAATCGGTGAAAAATGCTTCTTAGGAGAAGGAATTCTAAATTCCATCTAGTTAAGTACAGCAGTAATGGAACATGAATGGTATTTTCCTCTGGAAGGATGAGGGTACTGAACAGGTTATATGTTTAAATATATATATGTGTGTGTGCGGGTGCATATATATACATGCACACCACACATGGGAAAAGAATAATGAAAAGTTTTCCATTTGTATATATTCTGTATGTATGTGTATGCATATAATTTGGTATCAAGAGTAAATTGCTTAACACAGGTTTCTTTTGAATTAATTAGTGTAGAGCAAGTAACAGGGAATATCTGCCTTCTGGCCGTGTGTGTGTATGTGTACAGCTCTCTTACAGAAGAGAATCAGATGTGTGTTACTTTGTCCGTAGAGGACAGGGGCTTTCCACACGCAGTCAGAGCTGTTCCTCTCAGAGCTGTGCCTGAAGCCCCTGGTGCAGACTCTGCCTTGCCTCCTTCTGTGCATCCCAGCTCTCGAGTTTGTCTCCTGTTTGTGTGCTGAACTCACGTTTACCTGTTTGCTGTGTGCTGAAAGTTGAAAACTTATTTGGTAGGTGCTTCAAGACATAAATTCTTGGCTTGGATTGGGGTGACTTTCCAAGGATAGCAAAGATAATTTCCCATCACTTAATTCTTGGAAGAGATTTAGGTACTAAAACCCCAACTAAAACCTTTGAGAGTATATTTTTTAATATTTGACATGGGTCTTAGCTTTTTTTTTTTGCTATTTTCTGTAAAATCCACTCAGCTTTTAAGAAACTATTGTCTGTTGATCAGCAGTGCTTGTCAGGCTGGCTGCTGCTGTTTCCAAAGTTCTCCTCGTGTGCAGCATGCCAAGGTCTGTGAGATGTCCCTCGTGGGTGAATTACCTGCCTGGTGGCTCTGGAAGAGCCTCTCAGGTGACTGAATAACAGCACAAAACCAAAGCAGGAAGTAGCCTTGTTAACTACTTAATTAACAYGACAAATTCCTTCCTCACTAGAGACTTTTGAATTTTTACGTAGTTAATTAGCTTTACCTGTACTTACCTGTGGTTCTGATGGTGCCAAATTGCATATGATTTTGTTGTCTCATGTCAGTGAGATTATAGAGATGATAATTTGAGGTATTGAAGGGTTGCAATTTAAAAAAAGAAATCTTTATACAATTTAATTGCTTCATAAAGATTATCCTTGCTCATTTTGAATTGTGATTAATAAATTGAGGGAAAAGAAATGAAAAGAAAGCCCACAAAACTGTAGATGCTTGAGTAATCATGCGTTTAATAATATGGTTAATCTTGCCACGGGTATGAATCCAAACATAGAGAGAAATGGAGTCATTAATATAAATCACGAGAATAAAATATTAGTTCAGCTCTAGCATATAATATAAGCAAAAGCATTTCCTTAATATGACCCAAGCTGACTCCAGTAATTTTTAATGAAACAGGAAAACACAAACCATAAATCTAAAACAATTCCCTACTCAAAAATATTTCAGGACTAAAATCTAACTTCCACAGAAGCCGTTCTTAGTATTACTGAATTTTGAGCCTTTTTGATATTATGCAATTCAGGAGGATTATCTGTTAAATGAGAATCACAGACTTAACATTAAATTATGCTGTCTGAAGATCAGAGCCTTACTAAGATAAACAGGTAATAAAATATCAGAGGAAGAAAGAGGTTTAAGGCAGGAAGGAAGCAGTGTGTTTGAATTAGTTCATTGTTGGCATTTTGGGGTAATAGAGCACATGGTAGAAATGCAA